TTTTTTTTTTTTTTTTTAATTGAGATAGAGTTTCACTTTGTCACCCTTGGTAGAGTGCTATGGCATCATAGCTCATAGCACCCTCAAACTCTTGGGCTCAAGCAATTCTCTTGCCTCAGCCTCCCTAGTAGCTGGGACTACAGGCACCCACCATAAGGCCCGGTTATTTTTTATTTATTTATTTTTTTAAACAGGCCCTGGGCCGGGTTCTAACCCACCAGTCCCGGAGCATGTGGCTGGCTCCCTAACTGAGCTACTGGTAGCCAGCCTCACTCTTGACTTGGAATCATTGATATTTCTAGGTTTGGAAAATACTTAGACAAATTATTTAAGAATATGTGCTGGCCAGGCGCAGTGGCTCACACCTGTAATTCTAGCATTCTGGGAGGCTGAGGCAGGTGGATTGCCTGAGCTCATGAGACAAGCCTGTGCCAGAGTGAGATCTTGTCTCTAAAAAAATGGCTGGGCATTGTAGGGGGTACCTCTAGTCCCAGCTACTGGGGAGGCTGAGGCAAGAGAATAGCTTGAGCCTAAGAGCCTTTTGAGGTTGCTGTGAGCTATGATGCCATGGCCCTCTACCAAGGGTGTCAGAGTAAGACTCTGTCTGAAAAGAAAAGAACATTTGCTTGTTGGGAGGCAGAGGTGGGCAGATAGCCTGAGCTCACAGGTTCCACACCAGCCTGAGCTAGAGCAAAATCCCATCTAAAAAACAGCTGGGTATTGTTGCAGGTACCTGCAGTCCCAGCTACTCGGACTGAGGCAAGAGAATTGCTGTAGCCTGAGATTTTGAGGTTGCTGTGAGCTGTGATGCCACAGCACTCTACTGGGAGCAACAAAAGGAGATTCTGTCTCAAAAAAAAAAGTATATGCTTGTTGGAAATTTCATGAGTCAGTGATTCAATCAAGCAATTTTACAATATTGAATAATATGACACCAGAGCACTGTGTCCTGGAGAACAGAGTGAGTGAGAGTGTATCTCAAAAATAAATGAATAAATAAACAAAAACAAAATCTTAGGTCTTTATGTATTTATATAATTTAGAAAAATAACGTAGAACAAATATGGGAAAACATGAGCAGTGGTTAATTTTGGGTGGTGAGGATGTGTCAGGTAATTGTTCTCTTTATACCGGGAGCTATATTTTCTTTTTTTTTTTTTTTTTTGAGACGGAGCCTCAAGCTATCCCCCTGAGTAGAGTGCCATGGCATCACGCTCACAGCAACCTCCAACTCCTGGGCTCAAGCCAGTCTCCTGCCTCAGCCTCCCAAGGAGCTGGGAACCACAGGTGCCCGCCATAACGCCTGGCCATTTTTTGGTCACAGCCATCATTGTTGTTTGGCGGGCCTGGGCTGGGGATTCGAACCCGCCACCTTAGGTGTATGTGGCTGGCGCCTTAGCCGCTTGAGCCACAGGCGCCGAGCCAGGAGGTATATTTTCTACTGTTTTCTAGTCTAGCCAAAAAGAAAAGAAAAATATTTAGACTTAATAGGAGATGCCTATAATTACTAGTGTCATTTCCAATCTCTGTTTTCCTAGAAAATGTGGACACAGACTTGCAAGCCAGCCTGGGGCACAGTGAAGAGAAGCCTGTGCCCGTTGCCCCCGTGCCCAGCCCGGTGGCCCCTGCCCCGGTGCCATCCAGAAGAAATCCCCCTGGGGGCAAGTCCAGCCTCGTCTTGGGTTAACTGAGACTGTCCTTCCTGAACTCTGTCGTTTTGTTTGTTTGTTTTCTCCATGCTTGTGAACTGCACAACTTGAGCCTGACTGTACATCTTTTGGATTTGTTTCATTAAAAAAGAAGCACTTTATGTACTGCTGGTTTTTTTTCCCCCTTTCTCTTTTTTAAGAACAAGTTTCTCTTTATCTGTCCTGGCTCCTCTGGGTCTGTGGACCATGGCATGGGTGTTTTCTAGTAGTAGATTGGAGGGAAAGCTTTGTGACACTTAGTACCGTGTTTTTAAAAGCAAATAATTGGGTTCCAAATGTGTTAGAGGATCTTTTGTACTGAGGTTTTTAATACTTTACTTGGGTTTACCAAGCCTTGATTGGACAGACCATAAGTAGTCCACAGGCGCTGTTCCTGCCAGGCCCCAACACACAGATTGTGTTTACGCAGAGCCTTCCCCTGGTGGTACCCTAACTTACTGGTGCCCTTTGCTAAAAGCATCTCACTGTGCCATATGGAACATTAAAGAGGCCTGTACCTCATGCCTTGCTGCCTGCAAAGCAAAGAAACTGCCTTTTATTTTGTAACTTAAGAAGTGGCCAGATACTAACATGACCAGCTGGCTGATAAGCACAGCCTGCTGCCCTCACGCAGAGGAAGGCTCTGACAGTCAATCCATCTGACTGGAATTAAAAGTGGTGAAGCAAGCAAGGGAGGCCATCACACTGCAATGGGTCTTCATCCAGGAACGGACCTCACGGGGCATTGTTATTAAATAACTTGATGCTGTGTGCATGACGCTGGTGCTTGACCATGAAATGAAAGCCTCATCCTTAAAATGTGTGTTGTACTTTGCAATCCTGGACGGTTGCTTCAAGTAAATGGTGTCTACGTTTTGAAACATTGTGTCCTGTGTCATCTTTTTGAGATTGTTTAGACATTCTCTGGCTTTAGATGGTTTTTGTTTTTTTCTTTGTTACTACAAATCTTGCCCAATGCTTTGATGAGCCATTTAAAGTTAAAAGAGGTGAATGAAGACCCAGAGAGAAGTAGGTTTCTAATGGAAATTCTCGAAACAGGTTAGACTGTTCTACCACTTATCTTTGTTTTAGTACTGTCGACAGTTTTTAGGGAATTCTATGTAAACGTGTTTGCTAAAGGGTGTTGAACTTTTCAATTAGAAAATGTAGGGTCTGGGCACCAAGCGTTTGAATGAGACACCCGGGACCAGGAACCTGAGTGAGGTCAAAGACAACTGGGCCAGGTGCCCAGCCACAGGTACCCCTTAATCAAGATAGGGCAGGAACAGAGTGCTCGAGAAACCCGATCCTCAGGGATGTCAACCTGTCACCCAGTCTGTGAGTGCTCCTGGTGTTGGGACTGCAGCTAAGGCTGAGCCCCAGGGCACATCCACATAGCACTGGCCTAATGGGACCCTATCTCAGGAGGCTATCACAGCTATTACCATAGTCTTCTCCACCCTGGCTGCCCTGCTCCTGGCTGTGAGGCTGGCACTATTAGAATGGAAACTGCGAGAAGTGGCAGGTGGAGGACATCTACCAGCCTAGCATTTTAGAACAGTTCTAGTCTCCCCAGGACTCCAAGCAGATGGTACAGGCTGCATGTGCCATCTAGGTCCCTTCCCCTCCCTCTGTCCCCTCCTTCCTTGCTTTGTGACCTTGGGGGAAGGCAAAGCCCTCTCTGAGCAATCAGACCCATGCAGTACTTAAGAACTGAAGGAAAGATTTTTTTTTTTTTTTTGAGACAGAGCCTCAAGCTATCCCCTGGGTAGAGTGCTATGGCTTCACCGCTCACAGCAACCTCCAACTCCTGGGCTGAAGCAAGTCTCCTACCTCAGCCTCCCAAGTAGCTGGGACCACAGGCTCCTGCCACAACGCCTGGCTATTTTTTGGTTGTAGCCATTATTGTTTGGTGGGCCCGGGCTGGATTCAAACCCGCCACCTTAGATGTATGTGGTTGGCGCCTTAGCCATTTGAGCCACAGGCGCCGAGCCAGGAAGATGTTTTGAAGACTGATCTTGGGAGCAAGGGAAGGTGGGGCTGCTCACTTTTTTTTTTTTAGACAGAGTCTCACTATGTCCCCCTCAGTAGAGCGCTGTTAAATCACAGCTCACAGCAGCCTCAAACTCTTGGGCTTAAGCAATTCTCTTGCCTCAGCCTCCCATTTAGCTGAGACTGCAGGTGCCTGCCACAAGGCCTGGCAATTTTTTTTGTTGTTGGAGTTGTCATTGTTTAGCAGGCCCAGGCCAGTTTCCAACCCGCCAGCCCTGGTATATGTGGCCAGTGCGCTAGCCACTGAGCTACTGGTGCTGAGCCAGGGCTGCTCACTTTATGTAATTACATAAAATCTGCAGTCAGATGTTTTCTTGAGTTGGAGAAAAAAAACAGGGTCTAAAAAATAGTCAATGTGGCTCAGTGAGTAGGGTGCTGGGCCCAATATACTGAGGATGGTGGGTTCAAACCCGGCCCAGGCCAAACTGCAACAAAAAAATACCCGGGCCTTGTGGCAGGCGCCTGTGGTCCCAGCTACTTGGGAGGCTGAGGCAGGAGAATGCCTTGAGCCCAAGAGTTCGAGGTTGCTGTGAGCTGTGACACCCCAGCACTCTACCAGGGGGCGACAAAAGTGAGACCCTGTCTCAAAAATAAATAAAGCAGTGGAGTCCTTAGATGGGGAGTAGCAGCAAGATGGGCCATTTTACTCAAATCTGTACTCATGGTTCGTAAACAGGTGTGCTCTGGAAATTTCGTGAACAAAATTTATCAGTGTTCAGCATTTTCTAAGGCTGGGATGGAGTAGATATTGCCAAGAGATACCACTTCCTCAGAATGGAAGATAGGGCTGATTTCCTGTGCTTGATTAGAGTAGTCTTTCCAGGTAAAAAGGTAAGTTAGAAGTAGGTGTTCGTCTGTTTCAAACCAACTTTGATTTATAAATTAGTTTCTTCCTTAGGAATTTAACTCACTTAACAAAACATAAACCAGAGTCCTCAGAGCACAAGTCTTGGGGTTAGTGCAGCATTCAAACTACGGGAGCTTTGCAGGTTCCTGCTTCCTCCAGTCCCAACAAGGGGCTCTGAGGAGACAGAACTAGTCCCCCGGGGTAAAAGGAGCCTTAATTCCCGGTTAAAAAGTGCTGCGCTGGATTTTAGACCACCCTTTGTTGGGTCCCTGGACGGTCTGTCCCCTAGAAACGTGGAGTAGGCGGGGGTACGTCTGCCATAAAGCGAGAGGCGGCCCATGGGGATGAAGGCCCGGTCCTTCCAGCCTAACCACCCTCTTTCCGGAGTTCTCGGAGGCCTGGCGAACCCACAGGCCTGGGCATCGCGGGGCGCGCTATGCAGATTAGCCCGGAAGGCCCTGCCCACCGCCCGCGGCTCCGGAAGCGCCGCGACCCGGATCGCCGCGCTCGGGTCCCCATCGCTGCGCTCGTCTCCGCGCGCTTCCGGCCTGGACCTGCCCACCTGCGAACCCGAGATCCCCGGCGAGGGACCCCAGCCGCTCGGCGGCCATGGCGGCGCGGCCCGTGCGCGTGCTTGTGGACATGGACGGCGTGCTAGCCGACTTCGAGGCCGGCCTCCTGCGGGGTTTCCGCCGCCACTTCCCCGAGGAGCCGTACGTGCCGCTGGAACAGCGCCGCGGCTTCTTCGCACGCGAGCAGTACCGCGCCTTGCGACCCGACCTGGCGGTAGGGAGCTGGAAGGGGAGCCAGAGCCCACCGCGCGCGCTGGCGCGGGGAACCCCCCTCGGGCAGGACCGTCTTGGCTCCTTTCCGGTGACACCCTGTTTCCGATTGAAATGAACAGACTCGCACTTCTGGGGCAGGAGCATTTGGGACAGTGCCCCTAAACAGACCGTCTCTGAAGCTCTGACTTGGGGACCGGAGCCCCCAGAGCTTTATTACGGGAGTCCTCGGGAGCTAGATCTGCTGGAGGCAGAAGCCAGGACCGAGCACTCTGTATCTTTCAGGATAAAGTGGCCAGTGTGTATGAAGCCCCAGGTTTTTTCCTAGGCTTGGAGCCCATCCCGGGGGCCTTGGAAGCCATGCGAGAGATGAATGACATACAAGAGTAAGGAGAGGGTAGAGTTTGGGACGTAGACGTGGGGCGGGAGAGCGCGCTGACACCTGCTAACCAGCTTCCTTTCTCTGCAGCACTGAGGTCTTCATCTGCACCAGCCCCCTGCTGAAGTATGAGCACTGTGTGGGTGAGAAGGTCTGGCTGCCAGAGCACATCCTGAGCAAATTTAGCTAAGCCCTGACTTTGAACATAAACTGGGGGCTGGGGCAGAGGGGACCAGTGGTTTTCAAGGGCTTAAACCCACTCACACCTACTTAACTGCCCCGATTTCTAGGGTACCATCAGGCCCTCCTGACAGACCTATGTCTTCTACACAGTATCGCTGGGTAGAGCAGCACTTGGGGCCCCAGTTTGTGGAGCGAATTATCCTGACAAGGGACAAGACAGTGGTCTTGGGGGACCTGCTCATTGATGACAAAGACAACATTCAAGGTTGGATCCATTATCCTTGGCAACCTACAGGCATCAGGCCTACCTGGATTAGGGAGAGAGAGTAAAAATAACCAGATTACATGCTTGCTGCCTTTCCTTGTTCTAGGCGGAGAGGAAACCCCAACCTGGGAGCATATCTTGTTCACCTGCTGCCACAACCAGCACCTTGTCCTGCCCCCCTCCAGGAGGCGGCTGCTCTCCTGGAGTGACAACTGGAGAGAGATCATAGACAGCAAGCGGGAAGCTGCACAGCAGAACAAAGGGTCCCTACAGCGGGCAGTCACTGATGAAGGAGGGGAAGGTGGGCCAGCAGGGAGTCTCCACCAAGCCAAGTGAGGGATATTGTGGAGGAGGCAGACGACAGAACCTCTGTGCTGGCACAGGCCTGGCCACCTGGCTCTTCCCTAGATGGCTGCCTCTGGAGCATGGCTGAGGAAGAAATAGTCAGGACTCTTTTAATAAAAAACTTTGGCTCTCTGGTCATTAAAGATCTTTTATTTGGGAAAGAAAAGGGACAGAGGCCCCTGAAACAGGGCTGAGGAGGCCTTCCCTTCTTTCTCCTTAGGCCAGTGGCCTGACCTAGATCCACTTAGATACCATTCCTCTAACACCAGCCTGTCCTTGGCGATCTAAGGAGTCAACTTTAAGGGAGTGCAGCCAGGGTCCCCACCCCATGCTCCTCCTGTTGACCACTGCAAACACATTCCTTTGTCCCTTGAGTGTCTCTTTCACTTGATCCTTGATTCCCAAACGTGCCTAAGGTACACACCCTGGGGTAGGGACTCCCCCTCACTGACCAACAGCAGAAGGGGAGGGCCAAGGCTTCTAGTCTGGGGCCATGGGAGGGAGGGAGGGGAGAAGTTGCAGCTCCAAGGACTTGCCTTTATTCTGATCTTTCATCATATGGCCTTGTTTTTTTTTTTTTTTTTTTT